AAATTCATTTCAATATTTTTTCTATCAGATCCACGTTGATGTAGGTTCACGTCATATATTTAGACATGCATTTCTATCAGATTCATGTTGAGATGAAAATCACACCACCTGGGAGCATCCTCAGTTAATCCCAGCCTGTATGTGAACAAAATCATGTTATACAGTCAACATTCTTAATAAAACATATTGATAAAGTAGGAAAAGAAATTGTTGTCTTTAAATAACACCTTCTATAGCTAGAGTATGCTTTATAACACGTCTAAATGTATAATTATGAAGGTTACGTATTCATGGAAATGGAAACACTAGATGGCAATAGTGCGCCACGTCAAATTCCTATTAAACTATAATAACTCTTATTGGTATTCTGAACATTAGATTTTGAGTTTAAAAAGATTATTACAATATATTCAATGTGACCATTACAAATATATAGATGAAGAAAGACATAAATGTTCATTGAATGCAGAATTGAACGCTGTGGTTTAATCAGTTCTTCAGCTGTCCTTCAACAGATGGTCAATTTTTACGACTTTGCAGAGACTGGTTTCGGTCATAGTTCATGTCGTTGGGGTCAATTCATACATAGCAGAGTGTTCTGTTTCCGCTTGGTTGTTTACCCAAGGTGTTGTAAAAGTTTATAATAGCCTGTCTTCCAGAGCCTGTCTGAGAGGGAGACTTAAATCATTGATCAGTTCCTTTGTTTCTTGGTAAAAAGTAACCAAGATGTTAATCCACATTCCTGAGTCCTTCAGAAAGAGAGGTTGTGAAACGTGGCTGCTAATATCGGCTACATGTTTGAAAGAGACTGTCAGACAAAGTTGATATTAACCACATGGAGAGCAGAAAACAGCTTAATTGTTGTTTGACTTTCAAAACTCTTCTCCTAACTCAGAGCTAGTGAGTAAACTGCAGAAGGAGCACAAAAAATTGTCCAGAAATACCACGAACAATGTCACAGAATGACCTTTTTTTTGCAAATCCATCTGACATATTGACTTGTTGCCAAACTGCAGACATGAATTAAATTTAACATACAAATAACTACAAAAAAATATGAAAAACTATTTCTTTTTAGGTAAAATATTACCATTTTGATATTTTCTGTAAGTTTACACTATGACAGGATTCCTTTCTATAACTGCTGTAAGAAGTGTGGTACCTTTACTTCCACTTGCTGAAGTATTTTGGTATTAAAGATACACTTAGTGGTTGTCTGTGTGTATATGTGCGTGCCTGCATGTGCGTGGACAAATAGGTTTTCGGAGCCTTTTCAGGTACCTTCATACCAGTGATCAATCTTCAAGAAATGACTGAAAATGACAAATTACAGAGTGAGCTCTTAGCTCCTGTCAAAGCAGGATCAGCAGAGGTCCCTCTTGATTGAAAAAAAAAGTGTTTTGTCCTTTAGCTGCTCTTGTGATAACAGTTTTTAATGTTCTACATCACAGCTGTTGCAAGGTTTGACGGTTTGACGCTGCTGCTTTCAATTTAGCCTCGCTTAAACAGAAATCCTTCAGCCAGATTGATTGCTTTGATGTCGGCGCCCCTGTTGGATGCAGCACATCCAATCCCATTCTGTTTTATTAGATGCCCATCAGAGATCTATCAGAAACACACTGTTCCACGTGTTAAGTAACCAAAAACAGAGCTTCTTTTAATCAGGAGCAAAACGAGCGAGGGACGGGGAAGGAAAAACACACAACTGAATAAACTCCCCAACAATTGATTTTTCCAGCTGCTTAGCTTTGGTTTGAAAGTGTATCAGATTGAAAAAGCTCAGTAATGAATGCCAAAGTAGAAAAACGTTTACCGCAGAAATTGCCCTACTGTTGTGTTTCATGCCTTGTTGCATCGTTTAACTACTTTTGCAGGCTTTTTCTGCACACTTCATTGTTTGCCTTATTAACTGTATAGCAGACTGTTTATTTCTGTTTATCAGTGTACTGATTCTAAAAGGTTACCAGCTGCAGTCCTGTAAACACATGCACCATATTTACTTATCAGGGAAACAAGCATCTTACCGACCTGCAGCCTTTTGCATAATTCATACACAAATATTGATGTTTGTGTGTCTGACTCTCATTGACTCACTAATTACTCATAATTATGAGAATGAGATAAATGTTCTTACTCTTGACATTTCACACTGCTGTGTGAAACTGATGGAAATGTATTTCTGTTTATTTGTTTATTCAAAACATAGCCATGGTATTAGCAGAATGCGTCACAAAATACAAGAGAATGCTAAATGTTATTAGCATTAAGGTAATGGGGTTATAAGTGGGGCAGCTTGGAAAAGTTGCAGAATTGCATACTTTTTGTTTTTCAGGGTTTAAAACTTCAGTGAAAGAAGACGAGGCAAGTTTATTTAAATAGCACATTTCAACAACAAGGCAATTCAAAGTGCATCACACAAGACATTTTTTTATTTTTTTATTTAACCTTTATTTAATCAGTAAAGAAACTCATTGAGATTAAAAATCTATTTTTCAAGAGCAAAAGAACATGAAAAGCATCAATACAAAAGGAAACAGAAACATTAAAATAGAAAAAAATAAAATTACTAAAACAAACAATGCACAATCACAGAGAAAATTAAATCTGAAAATATGTTTAAAATGAAAGAAATCATTCAAATTAATTTAAATTAAGAAAAAAAGCAGTAAAAACAAGAAGCTAAAATATAAAAGGAGTTATATAAAAAATTGAAATAATAATAAGCCTAAAAGTTAAGTGCAGAGATATAGTTTAAAATCTTAAAATAAATGTATTAAAATTGTTTAATGACAGGCAGCGGTAAACAGGTGAGCCTTCAACCTCAATTTAAACGAGCTTAGAGTTTCAGCAGACCTGCAGTTTTCTGGGAGTTTGATCCAGATATAAGGAGCATAGAAACTGAATGCTGCTTCTTCGTGTTTGGGTCTGACTCTGGGGACAGAGAGCAGACCTGTACCAGACAACCTGAGCGGTCTGGATGGTTCTTAGTTAATCAGAAGGTCACTGATGTATTTTGGCCTTAAACCATTCAGCGCTTTAAAAACCAGCAGCAGAATCAAACATCACGAGATTTAAACATTACAGTGAATCTATGCAAGTCTTTGCGTGAGCTTCTTGCTGCTGTCATTACACGGCTTTATTGGAATAACTGCACGGTGGTTATTCATTGAAGGCCACAAAATTGGTCTGAATGCCGGTTCAAAATGAATATTATTAGCCATAATAAATGATGCAAAGTTCAGGAAGGGGCAGGTCATTTTCTGCAAAAGAATGATTTAATTAAATGATGGGTAATTATCTGGACACAAGTTAATGGCAGATGATAATTAAAGCACTTTTTTAGAGCTGTAAAAAAAAGCCGGTCTGGTCTGTGTTAGATGACCTTTTGATTACAAAGTACATTTGAATTTACAATGGGAGAAAGTGGTTAATCGCTGCAATGTGATTTGGGAGACGGCTCTGAATTAAAGGAAAGGACAACCCTCTTTGTTTCTTACATGAAAGCAATCATACTAACCATTCATCATTTAACATTTCATCAAAATATTGTGAACTTGCTGTCTGCATAAAGCAAAGTTTAAATCTCTCTTTGTATCACTGTTGGAATGATGTTTGACTCTTCACATCCAAGTGTCAAACATTATGAAAAACAGTCAGAGATGCAGCGAGGATGTCATCTCTCATCAGCTGACAGAAAGAGAGCGGAGCAAACTGTGAAACCATTTGTCTGATTGTCTGGGACTCAGCGAGTATTACATCAAGCCCTGTGGTCAAATCTCCATGGCTTGTTCATATTTCTTACTCTGCTTCCTTTTGATACAGAACAGAGCACATCTGCCTGCTTTCAAGTTTTCAAAGGATGTGGCTACTTGGGGAAAAAAGAAGTGGTTCTGAAATTGAGTTTGGTGTGTAAAGAAAAGCAAGAATATGTTTTCTATTGCAGCACACGAGTAACAACTCTGAGATCTACATTAATAGGATGTTTGCTGAACCCCCTGTTGCTCAACTTTATTTATTTATGTTTACATTAAATGTATTTAGTCTCATTGAGATTAAGAATCTCATTCACAAAAAGTGTCCTGGCCACATAATGTAGTTTACAATCACATCAAAGGCTGATTACTTAGTAAAAAATATTTCTTTTTTTTAAACATAGGGCTTGAATTCATTTAGAGGTATAAAAAGGCTTCTTAGTTTAACCAGCATGGCATTGTTTACTAGCATTTGTCATGCTAGTCAGAGTTCTTATTATTTAGTTGAGTTGCATTAGTTGGAGATGGTTTTAAACTGACCGGCAATTTTTTTTAATCAAAATTATTATAAGTGGCCTGAATACAAGTAGTGAAAGTTCTTGCACACCATTTGGCCTTCATTTTATACAAAGGAGATACAAGCAGGCCTCCCATTTCAACCAGCAGGACAACTTTAGCTAGCTAGCTAGACAATCCATTGGTTTAGATATTGTTGTTGGAGTTGGTTTAAACTTGTCTGCCTAACTCTTCTTTTCAAGAAAGGTTTCCCACTAAAACAGTTCCTAAAAAGAAACGAGATATGTTAAAACACAATCTCATTCTAGGTATTATTATCATGAGACCAAAGCTGCATGTCCAAGGTACACATTTAGAATCATTAACAGTTCATGATCCTTACTAAAAGAGAAGGAAAAGGAGCATTGTCATTTTTTGTCTCCCATAACCAGCTAGCTAACTCTGACCATCTTAGAGAAGTTGAAAGCAAACCAATGGGAAGTAGAAATGATGCTTCAGTTTTGAGTTTGTTTAATTTCATCAGCTGTGCACATCTCCACTTAAGAGAATTAAAAATTAATTTAAAAAAAAGTATTTTTTTAAAAAAGAAGAAGATTTGAGCAACATCACGTCCTCTAACTTGCTCACATTTGTTCTGATGGAGCAGAAGGCTGGGTGTGTGATAATCCCTCAGCTCTTGGGTTTGTGGGTAGTAAGCAGGAGATAAGTCTGCTGATTATAGCGCTCTTCAGCATGGAGAGTGGGAGTCTGGGGCCAAAAAAACAACAATCACGGAAGTGGAAAGCCATCACCCACCCACGTCTGGTCAGAGAGCAGGTACAGCGGTCAACAGTGCATGGGGCTTACCTGTCAAGAGTCTCATTGTGTCGAGAACGCAGTGGAGAGGAAACTCAGAGAAGTCCAGAGTTCAAACGGCCAGGGAAGTAGAGAAAATAAAATATCTTTTGACAAATTCAAGTGTTTTTAATTGAAATTTTAACAGGCTCTTAGGTATGCCTTCCTCTCCTTACAATGCATTTAAATAACTCTGTATCCACTCAAAAGTTTTGTCCTCCCCTGTCTCGCAGCTTCCCATAAATCATTGTTGTACACCTCCTTCTGCTATGGAATTGCTTTATTCCAAGACAATTATTATCAATTGTACCCACATTATCTTTTTGGTTTGTTTTTGTTGATATGAATAATGTTTTTAGTATTTTGGTAATTGCTACCACAAGTCTCCATATTTTAGTTGCTTCTATTTCCCTGTCTGTTGTTTGGTTGTCTGATTTTGTCTCAATCTTTCTCTCTCTTTCTGTGTCTCCCAGGGACAAATAATAAAAGAAGTGGCCTCCTTATCAGTACCACTAAAATGAATACCCCTATACAAAGATAAGATGATGTACCAAGGGTCGTTATCGGCTAAAAGGCCATAACAAATAAAGTGAGAGACACCAAAATAACACTTACTTAAGCAAATTTATTTACAAGAACATAAATGAAATGGCAAAAACAGATGTGGATGACAGTAGAGTCAGTAGTTCATGAGTGTGTGTGAAAAGTGTATTGTCGATGTGTTGGATGGAAAAGGAAGAGGAAGTAACCAAACATGGTGCATTCAGAAAAGCTCTCTCTGCCTACCAATAACATGTACCTGCAACACAGACAATAAGAAGGCAGACCCTAACAGGCCAGAGGGCCGTCACACCAGTAAGACAAGATAAAATTAACTATCAAATCAAATTTGCCTATTAGCCAAAAATGGCTTGTGTACACAGCAGCAACAGGAGAAGATCATTTTTTATTAACAGCCTGCATCATCAAGCAAAGATGTGTTGTTAAAGCTGCTATTGTCTTACCTCTATAGACCTCTACCTCCAGAAGCAGCATGGTTCAGTGTATTTAATATATAATTTCAAGATAATGTTTCTGTATTTCTTTATGGGCATAAATTGTTTATTTTGATCAAATAAACAACTCAGACCCAAGCAGTGCCATTTGTGAGGAAACTTGTTCCAGTTGTGCACTAGCAAACATTGTTTCCCGTCACTTCTCATCACACTACTTAAGCATGTCAGCAGCCTCTCCAGGAAACAATTTCTGTGTCTTTCCTCACCCAGTTACGAGCTCGCACTACAAGTCTGTGTTTTAAAATGAATTTGTTCCACTACATGTCATAATGCCCCACAGCTTTTGGCTATTGAGTCAACCTTGGCTTCTTGCTGGCCCTGGATCCCAGTGGCATAGCTTTGTTATGCTCCATCTGAGCTGAATAGATAGTGGTGCTATCTCTGTCCCTCTGTCCACCTGTTACAGCAGCCATTCACCTGTGTCATTGAATTAGCCAAAGCCCGACGGAAGCAGAGATGAACAGGAGTCAAAATGGGGAACAATGAAAAGGAAGGTATCAAAACCTGAAAGCACTCATTCAATCTGCTCATTCCCTTCTTACACTAGGGCTGTCCTGAATTCATGAAACGTTTGTTCCAAGCGATGGTTAAGCATATAACTGGTCACAACATGCCAACATGAGGATGTCTCTTGACATCAAAGATTGACATCAGTCTGATTAGCTGTACCTTAGCTTGTACTTGGATTTCACACTCAATGTGTGATTATTACTTTTGACTTTTCAACTGGGTGAAAAAAAACATTCAAAAGGCAGTGTCTTTTCTTCCATCACTGTAGCAGCAAGAAGACAGTATAGTCTTAACTACAGTGCACCAAAAGGGACAAAATAGCATGTGATTATTTGGTCGCTTCAGAATTAACGCGTTTAGACTGTCAGCCCTGATTTATACTTAATCTAGATGCAGTATTGTTAAAGCTATCTTTATTTATTAAAAACAATAGGGAAGCGTTTCAGCACGAGGCATTCATCAGCACTCATCAAGGCCTGGTGCTCAAACCTGTCCGTATTGTTTTGTACGCTGCTCTTACCCAGATAAGGAAACTTGATGGACATTTATTGTGCCAACTTTTCTCTCTCTTTTTAAGTCTTGTTGAGGTCGTGCACCTGAAACTTTATTTATTTTCGAATGTGCTCCTTTTTTTTTGTTGCAGTTTTTGATCTTTATTTATTAGGGACAAGAAAATTATTGTCTGACTTTCTTACTCAACTCTGCAGAGCATTATGTCTTTGTGCTTGTTTCGTGTTACAGCCTAAAAATGGTTTTGTTTGTTTCACTATTGATTCTCTTAACAAATGCAGTATGCAGCAGTTCAGTTAGCAAAAAGATCAAAATTTAATTTAAGCCACCTTCTGAACACCACGCCACAGACTGTCAAAAAAAAGAGATGAGATATTTTATCTAGTGGAGGAGTAATCAGTTAAACTCCAAGTTTTAAGAGGAAGATTAAATGGATAATACCAGCTGTCTGAAGAAATACTCCAAATAAAAGCTTATTCACAAATCTCTTCTGGTTGTGTAAATAAGTCAAAGAAGAGAATATTTCCAAAAAAAGATGATGTTAGGTTTGTTCTCAATGTTGGTTTCCACTCCTTATTGTACTCAAAAGAAATCTGTTGATGCAGGTCTAACTCTGTGTGTATCAATCAATGAATCAAATGTGTCATTTATTTGCCTCCTGACTGACAGAGGACGTCTTTTTCAGTGAATTCAGTAAATTTGGAGTAAGATTCATCAAGAGTTAAATAAATAAATCGTACTCCTCAGAGCTGCTCGACCAGTTTGATCTCTGTTGTCGTGTCTGTTGATGAAGAGTTAAGTTTCTTTACAATCATAAAAGCCTGTTTCAAGTAATCATCTATATTTCGGCCTTCTGAATTTGTGCATTTTCTTTTTAAATACCTTCAAAACAACAGTTGTCATCAGATGTTATACATATGGCGGGAATTTAAAGGATAATGAAACTAAAAGAGCACTGGTAGACTTGATGTTTTAAAACATGAGGGCAAATGCAGAAGAGCATTTTAACAGCTTGTAGTCTTATTTGTTGGACCTTTAACATTCTGAGCGCTAAGCTTTGTCTGCAGTAGCAGAAGAGAGACCAACAATGTCAAGGTCCAATGAAAAAATCTCTCCTCACTTTTCTTCGCCGTCTTTTCTGACTCATCAAATTGAAAAGACTATTTTGCAGTATTCCTTTCCTGTCATTTCCCCCTGAGATTGGTTGATGCACAAAATGAAACTTGGCATTAACAGATGGAGGTAAACATTCTGTATGTGTCCATGTTTCTATTTCTCCACTTTTTCTAACCCCCCTCTCCTCTGCATCATTCTGTAGGTATGGAGACATGGTGCCAAAGACAATAGCTGGGAAGATCTTCGGCTCCATCTGCTCGCTGAGCGGTGTGCTGGTGATCGCTCTGCCCGTCCCTGTTATTGTCTCCAACTTCAGTCGCATCTACCACCAGAACCAGAGAGCAGACAAACGCCGCGCTCAGAAGGTAGAAGTCCACAACATTCTCACAAAATACAGCAATCAGCTTATTACGACATATTTACATTGACTGTGAGCAGGGGACCTCTAGTGGCTAAAGAAAAGTAAGAGTAAGTCAGGTTTTTAGATATAAAAGGAATTAAAGACAGTGCAACAGGAAGGTGGGGTTGGATGGCTGTTGTTGAACAAACGTGTTGTTCAACCAAGAGAACCGAGTTGGTGTTTTTGAAACCATTGAATGATTTAAATGATTCTAATGATGATGTGCTTTGCTCCAGTATCAAACCCTTGATGAATACAGCTTTACTGGGATGAAAACAGAATGACAGAACAGAATTTTACACAATTTCAGTCTTTGCCAACTCATTATGTACGGCTCAATAACAACAAAGTACCCTCAGCTTCCAATACAGACATAATACAAATCTACATATTTTGTTTAATGTTTGAGCTTAGACTTCACCAAACATCCAGTATTTCCTAAGGACCTATTCACAAAGGTATATAGCACTGCTTTAACTCCCGCTTAACCTGTGCAAATAAATCAAAACGACATCGTCTAATCCACAAAACACATGTAAGGGTATAAATGCACACATTAGTGCGCTGCAGAGAAAACTGTGGCGCTATCTATCAATGCCGGTTGCACATATTTAAACCTCATTTTGGGGGGAAATTGGACCCGTTTTACAAAAATAAGCCTCATTGCAAAAAAAACCTCTAATATACGAACACAGACATTTATAGACATGTGCAGTATGCAGATTGCGCATTGTAAAGTTAAAATATTTCCACCTCTGTGTGACTTTAACATAACTGATCTGTATATAATTCTGTATAAATTACCTTGACACTACTTTTTATTAAAATAACAAGGGATAGAATCAGTATGACAGTCAGCAGCTCGACACTCTTCTGTTTCTTCATCAAAGTGAAGCAAGGGGGCGCTCCGCTGTGTGCGACCCAGCAGCCTACCTGTCTACTTGTTGTTAGGAGTTTTAAATGTTTTTAGTTGTTTTCATCTATGACTCTGTAGGCTGTGAAACTGTATTTTCCTTCTGGGATTAATAAGGCTGTCTGAATCTGATCTGCAGCCTGTACACACGAGGATTCAAATTTTTGTGGTTTTGGGTTTTTTGGAGTTGCCATTGCTTGCTCCTGTCAGAGAGGAAGCTTTGTGTTAAACAGTGAAACTCATTTGACATTTTTCAAGTTCAAATAAACCCTGAAAAAGTTTATCCTCCCCTTCTCTCTCATCATCTTTATGTGGACTAACGGCTTTTCTCCACATTTAGACACAAAAAGAGAGAAAATGGCACCGAACAGGATAAACCTTTTTTGGGCGTGATTGTGCCGGAATATAATTAGCGCTACATTCTTTGTGAATTACACCTTGAGCTTAATCTCGATTAATTAAGGACTGAAATTAATGCATTCATTTTTGTTTTTATTGCATGCTATTTTGTCCTTTTAGACGCACCGTTGATAGACCTCCACAGTGTCTCTCTATCTCAATGATGGAAAAGAACAATACTATTGCATCTTTGAAAGTCTCATTTCACTTAAAAAAAAAAGACAGCTCTGTTGACGAGTCAAAAGTAATATCCACCTTTTGAAATCAAACAGTTCACTTTACCGTTCCTTTGAGCTGTTCTCATTTAGTGGTTTCAGTGGTTAAATCATAACTTGCAATCTACCAGAAGGTCCGTACTTCATTTCAAAGTAAAAGGAGGCTTTAATTCAAACAGCTCACTCTCATCTTAAGACTGTACAAAAATTCAAAATAAAAGCCTAACTTATTTTTAATGTGAAATCATTTCAAACATGCGATTAATCGTGATTATCGAAATGTAAGTGGATAGATAACATGACGTTCAAATTACTATTGTTTTGACAGTTTCCATGATAGAAGGACATAGCGGAAAACCTTTTAAAGGTCTTACTTTAATCCAGAGATGGAGATTTTGGTTATAGACTTATTCATCATATTATTTTTAAGGACACATTTCTCAAACTTCAGAAAAGGTGATTGGCCTCCAATAATGGATTCTTTGACTGCATATCAAATCATCGTCCTTCAACCAACATCATGACATCGTGACACATTTTCAGTGCACACACTCTTAAACACACACTATATCTCTCTGTCTCTGTCACTCGCTCTCTCTCTCTCTCTCTCTCTCTCTCTCTCTCTCTTACACATTCACACACACCCACACACGCACGCACACACACACAGGAAATTTGCTGCCCTCCAAGGCGAAATTATTCCTTCCTCTTTGACACACACACTCCTCATCTCTGACTTACTTACACACACCGACACACACTCACTTAAAATCAAAGTAACGGTTGTAATAACACTCATCCTGTAGGCTTGACCTTTTGGTGGGTTAAGATAAGAGAGCTACATATACTATGTAATGTTAGCGAGCAGCTGCTGATAGCTAATTGAGGAGGGAAAGGTGTCATTTCCATCCATCCTAAAAAAGAGGGGCACGATTTTGAGGTCTAATTTGCTTTTTCTGTGAGCTGTAGGATATTTTTAAAGTCATTTTATTTGAAAAGGGTGCAGACAGAGATGTCTGATTATGTCAACGAGTGGACCCTTACTTATCCTGATGGTACTTACACAGCAGCTTCTCCAACATTTAATGGAAATCCTTCCCACAAACGAAATGAAATAAAGAAGTTTCTAGTTAATCATACCACAGATTTTGAGCGCATTCAGTTTGTAAGGTTCTACCCGAATTGTAATTTTTTTTTCAAGCCTTGTTTTTATCAACCCCATCATTGAACATTGAATGCTGATATAGCTTTTTGTCAATTAACCGTTGCTTAGCAACAGGCATTTAAAGCAGAAGATAATGCAGAGAGAGATTCTGACAAGCAGAAAAACATTTTAAAAAAAAGTTGTTTTGGATGAAAGTTTTTTTGTAAAACTCATGTAATATGCAAATCCTGATTATAACCAGGCAGCATCATTTCTCATTTTGAAATGGCTTCAGACTTAGAGTGGTCATATCAATCTGACTGAATAGTATCTCAGCAGACTGTTGATTACGATGACTCATCCTCTATAAAACTGTTACTATGAGACAAAGACATGATTTAATTACTGACTGATTAAGCTGTCACAAAGACACTCTGACATTCAATATAAGCCACAGTAAGAGTTTAAGTAATGCAGAGAGCCAATAACATCAACCACCTCATTCAGGACCTCCAATGATTTATGTACCTCACTCTGAGAAGAGAATTTTAAACTCTGGTGCAACAGTAAATCTATCTCTTACAAAGTTATCCTAAAGTTAGCATCTCCTCTAGCTTCTCCACCCCATGATATTACTTAGAAGAGAAACTGTGGGATACCTAACCCAATTTAAATTTAGGAAAGCATTATTAAGCTGTTATTAAAAACAATATAAAAATAAATTACATTTTACTGCAGTTCTGAAGGGGCTATAAATAGAATATATATTGTACAAATAATTTAAGTGGAACATTGGCCTCATTTGTTTGTTGTATTAGAGACTCAAACAAGCCCCTTGCATTGTCCTTTTAATTGGTTATGTAAATAGACGAGGCAGGAAGTGAAGCATTTACTATGATTAGTAATACTTTGTTATGGAGCTTTGTGTCTTGTCCTGTGATTTCTGCCAGCTGACAGTTTTTCCTGTTGCCTCATAATTATAAATGTTAATATTTTTCAGACACTGGAAACACTTCTCCAACATGTTAGCTAAAAGCTGCAGTAACAGATTTTTTAGGTTACATGGTGAAATATTAAACAAGCTACTTCTTGGCATATTTTGAGCCTATTTTATGTTTTAATGGTTATTTGGTCTCCTTTTTACTCAGCAGATTATAGTTTAATAATGTACTTTGAGTTGTGTTTCTGGTCACCTATAAATGAAACTAGTATTTGGTCATCTTTGAGATCTATGAGAGTAACATTTTAGGCTGAAAAACGATGTAATTACAGTGCTACAGTAGTTATAAACTGGTGTAGGTTTGTCACGACTGGGGCCATATTTCAACATAAAACAAAGTAAATCCATTGCGTACTTTAAATGGTATGGGTGTCCAGGGCATAGATGGCCTAGCGGTTAGGTCGGGCCCCATGTAAGCGGACGGGGTTTAAGTCCAACCTGTGGCTCCTTTCCCACATGTCATTCCTCCTCTATGTTCCTGGGTTTGTGCTCTATCCACTGTCCTGTCCAATAAAGGCAAGATAGATAGAGGCAAGATAGTAAGATAGTATGGCCAAACTAACATAGTTCATCTTTGTTCAAGAAAATAAAGAGCCATCAGTTACCATCACTCCAAATATCATCTAACTTCACAAACTCCAAGTTCAATATTGTAGACCAGGTCATTAGAAATGTGTGTTCCTTTATAATCTGAATCTAATTGAACTTTTTAGGTTTTTTTGTCCAAAGACAGAAAACAAATTTAAAACCAGTATGTTTGGGAAGATTTTAATGGAAATCAAAAAATTATGAAAATTCAACCATCTATGACTGAAAGATGCAAAGAAACGTGCCTTGTTGGTTGGGTGTTATTCAACTTCCTCAGCTTCCTTTTTTTCTGAGAATTCACTTAAGATGTCAATACATGTAGTTAGGTTTTCTTTTGGAGGGAATTTAGTTTTTCAGAAAACTACACATCTTTGAAAAAAACACTAACAATACTAAAACATTAAAACATACAATTTACAGTAGTTTACCACTTTGATTGGATTCCACAGCACAGTACAGGCGGTACAGTGCATTATAATGGACTGCTCTGAGTAGTTTTCTGTTCTTGCTTTTATCCACTAAATGCCCACACCTTTAATGGGTTACAGAATCATCATGATATTTACTGTGCAACTGTGAGAGACCAATGCACAGAAAAAGCCATACGTGCTCTTATATTATAGCATGAGTTTGAGGAGAGGAAGAAAAAGAAGAAAAGTAGGAAAATAGGAAAGAAGAGCTGTGTTTGAATTTACCCTGCTACTCTGTTCTCCCTACTTCTATTACTCTTTCTCTTGTCGCCTTCCCTTCCTTTTCCTCTTTTGCTCACATTCGTCTTCATTCTTCTCTAACAACAGGCTGCTCCAGGCTCCCATTACAATTATGCAGTCATCTGGGGATTTGACTTTACAAAAAGGTCCCCTCATGTACCCGTTGTAGCTCCACAGTCAGAAAATAGAAAGTAGAGAATCTAAATTGGATTTAATGATAGTCATTCCCTGCTAACTCCAGTAGTGTGTGTGGGCCTCAGTGTAGATTTAAGTGTCTACTCTTCATGTTCAGTCACCCACAGAGAGCTGAACTATCACAGAAACCACCCCTGATACTAATGCGACTTGTTTCCTGATAGGTCAAAAGGAAAACTTCCCCAGAAGAAGGAGACAGATTTCTTTTTATCCCTGCACAACTCAGAGGTGAAGCGTAGTCGCTTCCAGGGTGACGAGGCTGTAAATGGGCTGAGGTCGCACCAGTAATGGGACGGCAAAGTCAAGTGCAGCCACACTGAGAGATGGCATGTTGTCAAAGAAAAAAAGGAACGGAGACGTGAGGGCAAAACAAGATGAAAGGCGCAAGATAAGAAAGAAGAGGAGATGGTGAAGAGAAAGGAGAACAAAAAAGGAAACTGTCTGAGCAAATATGAAAATAGAGGTGAACAAGGGTAAAAATCAAAGAAAAGGAAGAGAAGTGCTCTCTGTATGCCGTAGTTTCAGGGCTCACTTGGCTTATAGGTGAGCATTTCATGCTTTCTCCCTGTTAAAAGTGGCAGTCTGACTGTCTGTCTGTGGGTGGCTATGTTACAGCATACAGGCTTGATTTGCTCCATCAACCATAGGAGAGAAGAAAGAAGTAAAATCACTAGAATCCATCATGGACAGGTTCTAGACAGACTCTCAAGGATGCCCATTAGGACTGACAATGAACAGACTGTAACTTTAGCGTGAATTACCTCAAATAAGTCCTTTTATTGCCTTGAAACACTTTCTCATCTTACTCAAAAACTTTTGTCACCAAGGGATTTTTTTTTTAAGTCTTGGAAAATTAGAAAGAAAGAAAGTTTTCATAGTGGTATCCTGATTAAAGACAAGGATGGTTACCAGGCAGGAAGGGTTTAGCTGAAAGGAAGAATAAGAAGGATGTCCCAAAATAACTACATATAGTAGTCTCACCACAATTAATGAATCCCTCTTAATCATCACTAATGTCCTTGGGAACAATGAGAGGTGGTGGTTGCATCAACAAAAACTCTGTCCTCTGCCTGCGTTTGTCTTATTTTGCTGTTGGGATGTTATTGGGGAAAATTTAGAAAATGAATCTCTGTAGCCACTGTAGCATCACCCATGCGTTTGTCAATGGCTCTCTTAAAGCATTTAGCATTTTCAGGCACCATGTTGTTGTTGTTATTTTTGAGCCAGAAATTGTAATATCTGGGCTCAGGGTGGAGCTTGAGAGGACAGATTTAGATTTTTTTGTGTGTGAATAACTAAGTTACGTTAATTGGGACCAAACCACTCTTCTTCATGGTCCCTATTTACAATGACAGAGTTAGCAGCAGTCAAACGACATACACCTTTCTCTTTGGAGATATTGCAAGAAAATGTCTCGTATGCTCCCAAATAATGTGCCCCATTGTACGTTATCTATGGGCTCCTTGCCAGAATTTATGTCTGATCATTATCTTATCTTATTTCCCACCTTTCCCCCCCTTGTGTGAAACCCCTGCACAGGTCTAAAAAAATATTTTATAATTAATGAAACACACTGAACAAAACTAACAAGCAAGCTTAGGACACAGCCACTTAGACTTGCTGAATTGGTGCTAACGAATTGATTACATAATTCACATTATGTCGCATTCATCAAAAAAGATTGGGCAGGTACTCCTTGGTTGCAGCAGGACATGTTATTTGTCCAATTTGTGCATGAAAAAATATCTTAAAGGCCCCTGAGTCTGCCCGGAACCTCTGTGTTTTCACTGAGGAGTAGCTAACCTTTAAGGTTCATCTGGCCTCAGTCGCCAGGTCATGTCAATCTGCCTTGTACAACATCAGAAAGATCAGACCCAACCTGTCAGAGCAAGAAACGCAGCTCCTGTTACAGCCCTTGTTATACCAACCATTGACTTCTGGCAGGTCTCCCTGCATGCACACTCAAACCTCTTGATATAATTTAAACTTTTAAGTTAGTTTAAGACACTTTTTAACTGTGTAGAGATTTAAGGACAGTGATTAACGTATTAAACAACAATCACTAATTTGATCTTGCTCTGAAAGACAGTGTGCAGACCCGCTTCATGGCCTGTACACATACAAACTTTATTCTGTCTTTCATGGACAGATGTTTTCTAATTTTTTTGATTCACACTATTTCAACACTAAAATGGGTTTTGACCTGCCTTTATTTTTTCAAACATGCAACACCAGGCTAGTACAAGGGACTAGGCCTTAAATTGGGATGGTCTTTGAATTTCAAATATGCCTTAAGACTATAATCTATCCTCAAGAGTGGATGGGATATTGCACAAAAAAAACATCCATTTGTTGCTGTTTTAGAATGAGAATGAGAAAAAATAAAGATGAAACACCAGCCTTGACCTGACTTTACTTGGCTTGATGATGAAATGGACCTGGACTTGACCTCTATTAGACTTTAAAATTTATGTCTTTATGACCAGACTTGACAGACACCTCTGGCCTCAGGATTTCATCAGTTTGGAGGAAAGCTTCCTTCGACAAACAATTTGGGCTCAGTGGACCATCACAGAAGATAAATTACTCATCAACACATCAGTGCAACCAATTGCAGCGCTCTTGCACTCAAAGAAGGATCAGAGCTAGTTGTTCTTTCATATTTTTTCTCTTCTTCTGTCAAGTCGAGCTTTTGATCAATAAGAAAAGCAGCCTGTGCTCGACAGTGCTTCCTCTTTCAAATTCATTCACTTTTTAAGTGAAGTTACACACAAAGAAGCAGTCAATGCCCCACCCCCCCCTTTATTTCTCTTCTTTCCCAAACCGTGCACATACACACACACAATCATTGCTATGACATCTCAGTCTTCAGCATTCCTCACACCTTCACAGGTTTCTGCCGTCTGATGGACAATTTCGGAAGCATCAAAACTAATTCCATTACTTTAGATTCATGTCTGGGAAGCAGATATTGCTCTGCCTCTCTGCTGTTTCTCAAATGTGTTTATCAGGGAGGGAGAGCAGGAGGACAAGGTTAAATAAATCTCTCAGCTTACGAGTCCAGAAGCACTTAAGGCAGCTGTATATGATATAGAGTCATCCTAATATCCTTTTCATTTGAAGAAATTCCCAAAACAATTTCTCTCTCATTTCCGATCCATCTCTCTCTCTCCCTCGCTCTGTTCTGTTATTACATCCATCTATTGGAGGAGTTTTTTCTCTTTGCCACACCTCACTTCAGAGACAGATTGAAGGATGAAAGTGTGAAAGTTTCACACGTGGCTGATCAATGAGGAAACTAAACTCTTTGTTGTTTGCTTATTAGCCTCCTCAAAGTAGTCACTAGACTAACCTGAGTCAGCAAATCCTTAAACATTTAGAACAACATAGTCTCATTAGAACCATGAAGCAGAACTAGAATGTATTTTACATTTAAAAGGTTCAACAAGAAGGGGTGCATGTGAAGCAGTGGTCGGTAGCTTCACTTTGTTTACGTCGTCAGCACGGCCGGCCGGCTCATCCCCTCGTGTATAAAAGTTGTTTAATTGAGGGACTAGAGAAAAGAAGAATAACATACTGTACTCACTGCTTAATTGCATGTCACATAAGCGTTTCTAGAACACGGTCATTTCGGGTAAATTTACATGCAGTGTGAAGATACGAGCATAATAAAGATCGCTAGCATTAACATGCTAACACAACAATGCAGCGCAAGTTGTTTTGGTTTCATGCTGGTGCTCAAGGGCGACATCTGCTGGATCAAAAAATCACATATAAAGCGGCATGAAAAGCTTGATCCCCCAACTGATAAATATGTATTTATATTTGGAAAAACAAATGAATTGACTTATTTATTAATAACAAATTCTTGACCTCACTATACATTTAAGGTTTAGAGACAATAGTCCAAATAATTTGCTTCAAACTTCCTGGAAACAGTTTGGAGAAGTTCCTATTTAACAAGACAACGCTCCTGTTTAACAAACCTTTCATAAAATATTATTTTTCCCAGTTTTGTGCAGAAAGACTTGACTTATGTGCACAGAGACCTGAATGAAATCCCATCAATCGTCTTTAGGATCTAGTGCAGCGCACAAATGCAACATCTAGCTGGAGTCTAAATGGTATCGAATCCTTGCAGCCAGAACACAAATCCCGTTAAAAGACTCACAAAGACTGGAGGCTGTCACTGCAGCAAATAATGCCTCTGATTTTGGAAGACATATGGGTGTAATGTTTTGGCGTCCGCATACTTTTGGCCTTGATGTGCATTTCAGTGGTTGGCACAATTCAGACAGCTGAAGCTTTTCTGTTTTCATGCAGAATGAAGGATTAATTGTGTGGTCAAAAGTAGTGCAGTAGTAGCAGCCATAGTAACTACAGAGTTTTAGAGATGAGCTGGCAGATACTCACCATTAAAGACAGTATTAGTCATCTTCAGTGACCTCCCGCCCACCCTGTCTGACGCTCTGACCTCTCCTTCCTCCCACATTCAGAAAGCCAGACTGGCCAGGATAAGAATATCCAAGTCCGGCAGCGCCAACGCCTTCATCCATAACAAACGCAACGGACTGCTCAACGAACTGCTGGAGCTGACGGTAAGGAAGACCTCTGACCCCCCCCCCCCCCCCCCCATGAACACTGAGACCCATTGACTGCGAAGTGGGCGATATGATTACTGGAAAGGCGTTTCAAAATGTGTTCATTAAAAATGCCAGCAGATTGTGTTTCAGTAAGAGATTAATCATATTGTTCCCTGTCAAACACTCTTCTACTAATTATTTCAGTTCACTGCAACTCAATAGCTTGGAAGCATCAACTTCACACCCTTTGTGTGCACACACACACACACACACACACACACACACACACACACACACAATGACAAACAATTACAGCCATAATTAAGCAAAGGACAATTTGGAAGTCATTTGGAGGCTGTGGAAGAGCAGCAGAAGTAGGATTCATTACTGTCTTGTGAGTTTACAGTTCAGGGGTGATAGCAGAGGAGTTATGACAATAATCCTCCATGAGGGGTGTTATCATCGTAATCACACTAAGTACTTTTTCTATAGTTGTCTTTCAGCCTTAAACTTGATTTAATCCCTCTCTGCAAAACTGGCAAAGTCAGGCAACAGAGGTTGTCTTCACTTTCGCTGTGTATTGGTGATAATTACATGTTTAGAGCATAAAAGAGAAAACTTCAGAGCCAACTGAAAAACTGCTCCAGTGAACGATGAGGCTGCGGAGGACATCTCACACAAAACTGACTCCTGGTCCTAAAAGTATAAAATGTTGCTTTCTTTCCTCTCATATACTATAAACAACTGTGTTCTTGTTTTCTTCTCCATACTTCACATGTCCAAGAAATAATCTTTCTATGGAATCTCAGCAGGAAGATAAGTCGTAAACTGACAACGTTGGACGTTAGCCTGACACAAGGCTTACCTGCTCTTACCAGCAGCGTATTATGTCTGAATATTTGGATATACAGTAAATGTCATCCCCACAGCTGTGCAAGTGTAAAAAATAATAATAATTCATTGTCAATTGTCAGTATGAGCCCTGTAAAGCCCTAAAACTACCGTATACACTGAAATGTTAGAATAAATTCAAAATGGCTAAAGTGATCTAATAGGGCCTTTGCATCCCACAATGCTTTGGGCCCCATCTGACAGTGCTAGACTTAAGAGATTAACAGAGCCAGGCTAAGCTTTCCCCCAGTTTCCAGTTTTTTTAATGCCAAGCTAAGCTAATTAGCTCCTGGCTCTAGCTGTGTATTTAATATACAGAGATGAGGTATTGATCCTCTCATCTAACTCTCGGCAAGTAAGCAAACAGTATTAAAGTGTGTATCCACTGCCATGTTTGTCCTCCATTTCTTAGTAGTCCTTTATTTCTATCCTTCAGGGATTTATTCAATATGTCACCACCATGGGAAAATGTGTTTAGTGATGTATGAACAAACTGGCCACATCCTTACTATTCAGTGCATTGCTCCTGCGTTAAGTCACACACTCCCCTCCTGGCAGATTGTTACTCAAATCCATTTGGATCTAATCGAGTCCAGTGTGGAGGCTCTCGGGTGTCTGGAAGTGGTCAGAATTATCATATAAATGCCATCTGCGAGCGCTCAGCAACCCCGATCCCTCTGCATGTGTGTGATGAGGCTGCCAGAGTCCTGACGCATCAAATTACAGTGCTGTCAGTGCTGTCAGTCAGTCAGTGCTGCTGTATGAGTCTGAGGTTACGGCGCGTGAGGAGAAATGACTAAATGACTGCTTCTCCCACGGCCTGCGGTTACATTGCAAGCTCTGCTCTGCTGGTCTCTTCCAGTTTTTTCCCTGATGCCTTTTTTTGACTTCTTTTTGTTTGTAACTTAGGGCTCATGCTGTTTATTGATTATGCTTTCCAGTTGTATTATGAGACCCTACAGTATATTCCCTTAAGATGTCATCTACTTCATTTTCTTTTCTTCAGCTTTTAAAAGATTACTCATTCGATGAGTTTTTGGAAAGTCTACCTAGCTCTGTAAAAAAAGATATTGGGCCGCTTTAAAATCACCAATACTGTTTATAAAGTGTGAATGTGCTATGGACCACATTCACACATATTATACAGTGGAGTCATTAAGGCTAGAAAAACACAATGTGTTTACATTTCATCTCAACTGCATCAGCACCAGCTTTAATGATCAGAAGCATGAACCTTTAAATCTCAGTCTCTGTCTAAACAAAGTCTCTGATAGTCCTGTCTCTCTCAGGGCACATGCTCACATTGAGACATCAGGAGGCGTGCTGTTGTCGTGCCCACGTCGCTGTATTGTTCCTATGTCTGGAATCTGAATGAGAGTCCTTGGGCTGGATCGCCAACCCACCCAAATCCTCAGTGTAACAATGTGCGCTGTGGGGAGGGAATTAATTTGTTTTCAGTTTTCATGTTTTTTGGCATTTGTGACTACTCAGAGACTAAGCTATATCGGAGCCTGAGCTTTGAAACTAAGTCCCGCTTGGAGAAAAACCCAGAACAAAAAGTGGCTCCATAAGTTTCTGTCTCTGTTTTTCTGAACGCTTCTGTTTTCCTCTGACGCTTCATGCATCAAAAACTCTTCTGCTGCCTGAAGCCTCACATATAACACTCAGTAGTATCTACTTAGATAATTACATAACAGAGCTAGCAACTATGCAGCTTTACAATGTATTTTTTGTATTAATTGAATGAAGTGAAAAGATTTATTTTGAGGCCTGATCACATAAGAAAACAAACAAAGACAGTGACAGAATGAGTACCACAAATGAGAACAACAGAGAAAATTAATTATGAAGAAATTCCTTCCTTGCCAAGGCTGAGGGATCGATTCACAGCAAGTGGAAATATTGTCCACTGTGAGACAGAACGAGTAGTTGTTTCAAATCAACAAAAAGCAGAACAAAGACGTCATGCGACAGATATTCATGAAATATAAATCCGTAACATCAGCGTCAGGATACAGAGATCGCAGTGACAGACTTTAATGAACGACGAGGAAATGTCAGTAGGTTAATTTGCTAACGTGCATCAAAGTTCTTTGTGTGTATGTGTGTTAAATGTTTCCTTTCTGTGTGTGTGTGTGTGTGTGTGTGTGTGTGTGTGTGTGTGTGTGTGTGTGTGTGTGTGTGTGTGTGTGTGTGTGTTTCTTACAAAGGATAAGGAAGAGGAGGAGCAGAAGCAGGCGAAGTCCCCCTCCCTGATTGAGATCCAACACCACCACCTACTGCACTGTCTGGAGCAAACCACAGTGAGTACACCTCAGCACTTGTCCTTTTTTTTGGTTCATTTGAAAACTTTTGGCTTTTAAAATTTGTGAGGAAGAAAAAAAAAAGGTGTTTTTATTGTCAATTAAAAATCTTCTCATGACTATTACATTTTGTGCCAGCACAGACACAGCGTGTACTTCAGGGCTGAGGGAGCTGGCAACCCGAGTACAATCAGTGTTTGTAGAGGATAAACAGCAATTATAGTATGCAAGAATCTTATTGTATATGCCTAATTCTCTCTGTATTGCTTACATTTCCTGTCTGTATATCTGTGTGTAAAACTCCAAGGCACTCTTCTTTAAACAATAAGAATGTCTTTGTCAGGGAGACGAGACGCTTTTTGACCCTCTGAGGAAGCCTTGACGTTAATATGCATAGATGTCTTCCTTTGAAAGTCCAACATGAGCATGTTCTGACAACAAAGGCATTTCATTGTTTAAAGAGAGTTCATTCAAAGTTTTTCTTCAAAGAGCATCTCTAGATAACACTTTTTTGAATCCAGGAACGCTAATTCTTTTCTACTTTAACCCTTTATTTATTTATTTTCTGAGACGGGAAAAGCTCATTTTACACACATGTATGACACCTTTAATCATTAAATACACACACACACACCCACACACACACTGTTTGTGTAAACATGTTTGACCATCCCTTTGACATCAATGTTTCTGTCTTCTCAAAATTTTCTTTTCCACATCAGTTGGAAGCAAGAAACAAAGTAAGAAAGGCTTCAAAATGTTCACATAACAGTTTGATTTAGATGTCTCTGTAATTTACAAAAATGTTCTGAAAGCAAAAAGCATAGTGTCACTGTATCTGTTTTCCTAACAGCAAATATACTAATTGGCCATGTGCGTGAGTTTGTGAAGTGTAGCTTTTTACTTTAAGTTTATTATTGGTATTAATTGTCTTTCTTTGGTGTATTTGCTTGTAGAATTGTGAATGACATAGAACACAAAGCATCAAGTCCCATGAGTCTGAATTTGATTTGCTCTACACCCTGTTTTGCTCTCTCCACCAGTCTCTCCTTGTGCATTTAAACCATCATCCTGTCTCTCTCCTGTAGGCTCATGAGTTTGTGGACGAGCAGATGTATGAGCAGAACTGTTTAGAGATGGCTCTGCAGACATACACGTCACGCAGCCCCTCCGTATCCAGCGATGACAGTTCTTCAGGGACCTGCTGCGGCCGTAGAGTGAAGAGAAACATGCCTCTACCCAACACCAGCCTGCCCTCCGCCCACCCTGTACCAACACACCAGAGCCCCCTGCAGGAGCTAAGTGCACTCCACATACAATGTGGGGATGCACCGTCACACACCATCAGGTAAGACTGAAGGACAGAGGGAGACCAGCGAAGTAAATGAAGTTGTTAACAAGAAAACTGCCTACTTTTTACTGGTGGTGGGCAGATAAAGCCTTTAGGCTACACACTAGTGACCTCAGGTGGCTTGTTAAAGTACTGCAACATCTCACTGCTTCGCAGACTTTGTGTGGAATAAAATTACAACAAGCCTGTGTGTGCAAGCATTTTTAACTCTACATTGATTGACTCCTAAAGATAACTGAAATATGTGGGCTCTACATAACCAGGACTTGGTAATCAAAGACAATAATATGCTGTGTTTCAATGCTGCACTGCAATCAAAATACCTTCCTTTATTTACAGTATCACCCAGATGTGATATCAAGGCTCCGCATTTTGTAATAGCTGTGGAGCCTGACTAAAGACAGTAACACCTCATGCAGCGTGTATGCACTTTTCAAGATTTCTGTGAATCAGTCTTAATGCATAGTGAAACAAGCCTCCAGATTATACACTAAAATGCTGTTCAAACTTTTATTTCTACTTGCCAATGAATGTCCCCATAACTGCTGACCAGGATGTAAGCAGACAAAAATTACCTTAAAACACTAAAGAACAAGCAAAGACATTACTAAGCTGCTGTTCCACAGGAGACTACTATTATCAAATGACATCTGTGGTTGGTTTATCGTGGATGGTGATTTTAGTTGGAATTGTTTGCTTTATAAATGACAGACTTTTACACTAAAGGTTTTGGATCATACACATCCTCCACTATATCTGGAGGTTTCCTTTACTACTCCTGGGTGTTTGGGGCTTCAGCCTGACTATGAACATGAACAGTACTGGGAACAAAATGATTGAATGAAGTAAATTAAAAAAAGGTGCAATGAAACAAACAGTCACTAGAGGGGAGTAAAGGAACATTGTATGAAATTGTCTCTTTTAGTTTGACAGTTTTCTCTTCAAGTTCAATCAGATTTTTGAGAAAATGACTTGTTACCTGAATTAAAAAAAAGTTTTTAATGGAATAGTTTAAATAAATAGATCTAGATGATCATTTAATCATTTATTACACAATATATGAAGAGCAATACATTTAATAGACAATGCAGAGTAAATTACTCTAAACATATTTATCTGTTTGGCTTGGAGAATTAAATATTCACTTCACATTGTAGACAATGTGCTATCTCCATTAACATTCTGTTTGAAGTGCACATTACATGATGGGACTTTTCTGAAGTCTTTTGTGTGTCAGTTATGTAGGATACAATTTAAAACTACTCTTAGTCTCATTTATCTATTTTTTTACCTAGTCGTTCAACTCTCAACCTGAAAAAGGACAACAGCAGCAGGATCAACTGCAAGGGAGGTGGTCGGATCACCACGGCGATCATCAGCCTCCCCACACCTCCAGCTTTGACCCCTGACGGTGACGGTCTCCACGGGCCCCCTCAAAGGAGGCCGCCCCCACCTCCGGGTCTCCCTGCAACACCAAGCATCCAGACCACAACAAGCTCCGCTGGGATGAACATCGTCAAAGTGTCTGCTCTGTGACTTCCTGTGTGATGGATGTAACTCAGCCCAGCAGGAGGAGAGAGGAGAGGAAAAAAAAGAAGAGGTCACACACTACCTTCATGGCAGCACTCTGTCCGGTCTCACAGGGTCGACAGGAGGAAGGCTGATCCCCTGAGGAGTCACCAGTTGTTGTGTAAGAGAAGACAGTTGATGTTGAGGCATTGCAGAGGAAGAGGACTGTAGATATGTGAACCAGGAATCACACACTTGTCATGTCTTGTTTGCACTGTAGATATGGACAGAATCACTGCATTTCTAAAAGTTGATAACAGCCGTGAAGATGATTTACAGCCTGTACTGTACTGGGGAAGAGACTCAAAGACAATGTGCAAACAACATATCTCTTTTCATAATCAGCCAACTCTTTCCACACAACACAGTGTCACAGGAAGATGAAAGTGCAGTCACAGTGAAATAGTAAAAAAGGACATATTGTCGACTTGAAATGTGTTTAAAGTACAACGTGTGAGCTGAAGCAAAGTGTTGACTGTTTTTACTTGAATTTGTTTGGTCTTGTTTGTGTTGTGTGTTGTTTGTTTCAAGTTTGAAAAAAATAATTGTTCACAGTTTTCTATACTGCAGCGTTTCAAAGGTCATGGCACCCGACCGGATGCTGCAAATGTCTTATTGGTAAAATGTGAGTTTGATGTGTTTGAAAGAGTGTATTTTCTTGGATATTTGTGTCTGATTAATCATATCAAGATTTAAACCAATCTGTGAATTTCAGTTTCCAGTGATTGATATCACTCTTCCTTCATGACTTTATAGATTTTTCATTCTGATGCGAGACAAAGCAGTGATTTATAAGACTGATCTTATATATTTCTGCTTAAGGCACACATCTTAAAGGTCACATATTGTGCAAAATACACTTTACCATGTTTTTCTAACTCTAGCATGTGTCCCTAGTCTGTCTACAAACCGCCCAATTATGAGAAAAGTCCATCCTCTCTGTCTTTTGCCTGCTCTACTTTTCAAAAAATGAGCGCTAAAACAGGCCGTTTGGAGATTTTGACTTTGTGACATCACAAAGGGCAGTAACCCCTCCCCGAGGTGGGTGACACTCCCACAGCTAGGTGTTTGTTCTGCCCTCTGAGTCTGCGTGTTGAAAGAAAGCCCAAGCCACCAAAGCCCTTCCAGAGAGGGCGTGGTCAGACCCAGCTCATTTACATTTAAAGCTACAGAAACAGCCTGTTCTGAGTAGGACTGCGATAGAGGGGTTTAAAGACGCGATAAAATAAAGGCTCAGATAGGATTTTTAACATGAAACTTCACAGACATGTTTTTTGGTACTTCTGAAATTTAGTTAAACTTAGTTTAGTTGAAAAAGAGTATAATATGTGACCTTTAAATACTATTTTTTACTATTTTAATAGGCAAATGTGATGTAAAAATGATTTAAAATGGCTTAATATTTATTTCCTCAATCACCCATGCTCTGCAGTAAATGACAAACAGAACTCAAACAGGACAAATTGTGCAGTGGTTGGGGACTATTTTAAGCAGCGGCTGAATACAGTTTTAGATTATGAAGTACAGCATCAGGTCAGTGAGTGTTTATGTGAAGATTAACTTGAATTTTATTTTTCCTGTAATGAAAGAAAATCCTTTAAAAGCAGCTGAGTAACTCATGGATGTGTGTTTAATTTGAGGTCTATATCACAGTCAATGGTTTTCATCAGTTCATGCTATATGTTAATAACTAAAAAACGTATGATATATTTCCAGAAAACAAGATGCTTATATTGTTTTTACTCAATGAATGTATGCTCTTGTTCCTATTTATGTGATGGTGTTGTTTGTCTGTAATCATCTTGAGCATGTGTCTGCGTTATAGCTCCGCTGGTGTGTCAAACAACTTCACAGTTTATTTGTTAACAGATCATTATTTCTTTGTTAGTCATTATTTATATTCTCCTCTGTGTGTGTGTGTGTGTGTGTGTGTGTGTGTGTGTGTGTGTGTGTGTGTGTGTGTGTGTGTGTGTGTGTGTGTGTGTGTGTGTGTGTGTGTGTGTGTGTGTGTGTGTGTGTGTGTGTGTGAACATTGTACTAGATCTGCTGCTTTGTATTTTGTATGTCTGTATATCATGCTGCATCAGCTGTTTTAAAGACCGGTGTGACTCAGAGGCGCAGACTTGTTCAGTCTAGACGAGGACTGTGGCTCTCATCATCAAAAGTATTCAGAACATAAGGCAGATTGATACATGTAGTTAAACGTCCAGGTGCTGTGGAACACCATATTAGCGTTCATGATATAACCTTTATCCAATCAGATCACTTGATTAGAACCAACGGTTGTATATTTACAGATGTTGTTCTGTATATCAGCACTGCTGTGATGCTCGGCTGCAGGCCGAGAGCAAAAACAATCACAGTGTCTGAGATTCACATGAAAAATTCAAATTCTCAAATATGATACCGCTTTAACACAACACAAAACAAGCATGATACATAGGAAAAAAAACGATTGGCACTCAAACACACACACACACACACACACACACACACACACACACAGTACTGATGTTCTGCAGCTTGACTGTAACTGGACTTTTGCCAAGCGACACAAAGACTTTATAATGTACATTTATCTGTATATGTCCATTTTCCTTGCATCCAGTGAAATAAGAGTATGACCACTGTTGTTTTGGTGACATCTGTGATGGATGAATCTAGACACAGACTGCTGTAACATTTAATAAAAGTACTCAGAACAGCTGATTTATAGTTTAGAAAGTCCCGGTGCTGGTGTACTGTATATCAGCAGTCAAGGAAAGCCTGTTGTGACTGTTGTATAATGGGTTAACTGATTTATGTCAAAGATGATCACAAGAGAGCAGCAAAGATACATCTGACAAAAAAGAGAAAATTATTGGTCCGGTTTAAGGCCTCACTCCTGCAGTAGGAAAGTATTTTCTGATATGTAGCGTAGCAACCTGCTGCATACAGTACAATGAATCTTTATGAAGATGGTGTTTGGGTTTGTTTGTTAGTACTTGCCAAGTCAGTTGTTGTATGAAATGATATTTGTCATTTCGTTTGTTTGCCTAAATGGAATTTGTTTTGTCCTGTGGTGTTTAATTGATCACAAAGTGAGTCGTTTTTTGCTGCATCGTCGGTAATCTTTGTTTTGCATTTCTGTATTGTGCCATGTTCTTTATGCTGCTAAATATATAAATATATAAAAAGAACTATGAGCCCTTTAGATAACTTTTCTTCTCACTTTTAGCACTGAAAATAATAAACAGCCACTTGGCCGTGGTGTTCAGAACCTGGATCTTGGTAACTAATGCAGTCTCTACACATTAGGGCTTTTTGCAGAACCATAAAAAGAACCATAGATCACATTCATGCATTTAAAACAGGAAGCACTTCCCTCACACCAGTGTTACTTCTGTACGATGATGATCATCACTTGTTATAATATGGTGGACTTGACTTTACAATGCATTGTGGGGGTCATTTTTTTAAGAGTCTTGGCATTGCTGTTTGTGTTGTTTCTTATCTTTTTATCCTTTGGAACGGAGCTTCTCTGTCTGTTTGCTGTCTTTATGATATTCTGTCAGTTTCTTTGTTATAACAAATAAGTGTCAGGAAATTAAATTCTGACACAACAATCAAGTGTTGTGTATCTTTTCCTTTTTTCTAACGGTGAAATGTCCAGTCAATCAAACTTTATTTAAATAGTACTTTTCAGACAAATTCAATTGCAGTTCAAAGTGCTTTGCACAGGAATGAAGGGGGAAAAAAGGGAGAATCTTAAAAAATATAAATGTTTGATTTGTGTTTTTTTTTTGTCAAAATCAGCTGAAACCTGAGTCTTTGTCTCAGGGTCATCAAACTTTAGCTTGCTATCATCTTTTTTTGCTGCCAAACGTAAGAAATCTGAAGTTTCACCTTTAGTCAGATATTCATGTCACTCACTAGATGGCAGCATAATACACAAATCATCTTCGGCTGAGTTCAAAGAGCAATCTTAACTAAACATACATGTTATACTGTAGTTTCTGAATTGAGAAACCTTTCTGACACTAATGAAATAATGAGTCTGAGTTAATTAGAATAGTTAGAATTAGAATTGTATATCTTTTCTTGTCTTCTGACTACTCAAAGCGCTTTAACACAGCAGGTTACACCTACACATTCACACACTGATGGCAGAGGCTGCTATGTAAAGTGACCATCATGGTTAACTTATATATTTCACACAGAGACGACCGTCTCTACCAACTGAGCCACAGCCGCCCAATTCACAACAGATGTGATCTGAAGAAACTTTCCACAAAGAGCTGCTGTAGGTCAAACTTTGTTTGCTCCGCTCAAATATCAACATATCTATTCCATAAAAAATGTGAGTTAATGCATGCCTTTTTATAGTCATTCTTTACAATGATATGATTAAACTTTATGAAACATAAAGTATATGTTTCTAATAATCGATGAAAACAATCGAAAATAAGAGCCCTAAAATGTTGGATTTCACTTTGTGATCCAGAAGAAAGTTAGAAACTGGTAATAAAAACAAGAGATTTATACTCCTGTCTTCAGTTTGATACAATATCCAAATATCAACATAAAAAATTAATCACCTGTAAATGCTGTGACATAATGTGATCACAAAGTCAGAGGGGAGTCATATTTCTCACACACCTCTCACTCTTCTGTCACGTATCTGACCAGGTGTTTCACCATCGACTCACTCTCCACATTATAAGTGGCTCTGACAGTCTGTCACAGTTTATTACCCATCATTAGAGTTTGTCTGGCTGATGTCATCACATGCAGGGATGGGATGACTCAAACAGAGCATGACTCACTCCGTTTGGAGATTAAAACAAATAAACATACAGCTGCTTCACAGATCAGCTCTAACAGCAGAGAAATGTTTCAAGCAGGGTGTAACATAGAGGTCAGGTATCCTTCAGATGTGTGGGTATTATAGAGTACTCTTGGACATTCAGATATATAAACATTTGACAGACAAAGCAAAGGCAGGAGCTCAGGACAATGACACAAAAAACATCAACAGTCAGGCCAAACAAAGAGAAGTCAACAACAATGATATCAATGCAAATACAAGTATTAAGAAAAGATACAACAGGCCGGTTTCTAAAGGAAGTTTAGGCTATAAAGCAAAACAATTAAAGACAATTAAAAAGAAGGGAAAGGTATTAATATCAAAGTAAAGAAGACAACTTTACATCACAGCTCATAAAAACAGAAATTAAGATAAAAAGGTGAAATATATAAGCTGGTAAATAAATCAAATCAACAAAGAAGAAGAGTTTAGAATGGATAATTAAGAGCAATAAATGAATAAAATATGTACGTTCTTAAGATCTTAAATAGTAAAGGGTAAAAAAAGTATATTTACGATTGGCGTTTGATCATGTTTGTCACAGAACAGTCTCTTCGTCATTACATAATCAATGCTGGAGTGTTAATGAAAATAATGCTAAACTGTGTAACAATGTATTTTTAAAAATGACCTTTTTATGCTTTGATTTGAGAACTGACAGTAAAGATGTGACAGAAAACATCAGAAGTGAGAGAGTCTTATATACAACTGACGATCCTGATCATAGCATACATTTCACTTCATGAATAAACCTGAAGTTCACCAGAAAAATATTTTTATACTTTCAACAGTAGCTGCATATCATGTGGTGGCACAGCCTGACCACTAGGTGACAGTGTACTATCACAACTAGTAGACAAAAACACTGTCATATCAGCTTTTAACAGCTACAAAGCGTAAATAATCAATAAATATCAGCTGCATACATATTAAACACCACATTAAACTTGCATTATGTGCTTAAGAATCAGAACAGCACAGACAGGCCCGGTTCTTCGAGGGTGCAAAGGCACCCACATTTTAAATGTCTGCACCCGCAATTGAATGGCTGCAAAAAAAAAACAACAATACATATTTTTAGGGTTAGGGGTAGGGTTAGGGCTTTATTACAGTAGTTGTAATAAAGACTTTCAAATGACAACATTGACTCACATTGTGTTTACTACATCCATGATCTGATGGTCATGTCATGTCCTAGCACCGGGTCTGAGCACAGAGCAGCTTCTGCAAACTGGTTATGTAATTATTTACTGTATTGACAACATTTATTATGCCACCACTTAGTTCATCACAAAACAGTGTGATGTCTATTAGGGAGAGATAATTATTATTATTTTAGGAAAAAGAAATGAAAAAGAAATCAGTTGTGCATTTCATCAGGGGGTGAATCATCATTTTAAGTGTATTTCCCTCACACTATAAATGTCATCAATTGGCTCCCGACTTTCCTTCTCATGTCCTTTCTTTCATCTTTGAATACTTTATTAACCAAGCACTGAGACATTCATATATTATGTATGAATATTAACTCTAGTCATTTGATTCTTACATCAACATGTCTTTTCAGCCTTGAAATAAAAACTTGCCTGTTTATGTAATATGATAATATAAAGATGTTATCTGACAGTTCAAGACACTGATGTGGTTTTAATGCATATTCAACAGTTCAGGAATTACAGTTACAACATGAACATGCTGACGTTTCATCATAAGGTTGTCTGTTCTTCTTTGCATGTCTGAAACAGGAAAGCAGTTCATCTGATTCAGTGATTCTCACTACAGTTCAGAGAAGTGACATAACACAAAGAGATAGCTTAAGTACTCTCACATGTACAGTAAGACCATTAATAGTCCTGATGCATAATTAAGATCATTAAAATAAGGTATATTTATCCTAAAGGAGGGGTTAAAGATCCATTCACATGAAAGGACCCTGGTTGGTGAAGTCAACACTTTTCTCTGTGATAACTCTGGGTGTTGATAATTGTGAGGATTGCAAAAATCTACATTAACATTTGTGTTACTCGCTTTTTTAAACCAATGTGCCATGCTTTCTCGGGTAATTGAAAAGAGACCATTACCATGTTTCTCGGTTTGTTGTAACAGCCTGAGTACATATATCTATGTAAAGAACTTTTTTTTTATTGTTATTTCTATGTAAAGGACAGTTTTGCCCAATATTATTCAGAATTTATATTATTTCTGAAGAGGTATCAAGAAGTCCAACAATGGCAGTTTCCATTGCCATGGAAATACAGATTCTGTTTAACTTCTGGCTAATCGAGAAGCAAGCAAAGAGGTGGAGTTAAGACGAAGGCAATGACATCCACATAAACGGCGGATGATAATGCTTTCTGTCTTCAGTGATGTATCGTTAAACAGTTGCTGCTGGTCCATGTGCTGCATGTGTTTCAGTGCAGAGTGATGTGAGGAGACATTTCCTTATCGTGTGTGTGTGTTCATGCTGACAGCTGGGAGGAAGTGGACACATGCAGGAGAAGCAGCTGCAGGTCAGGGTCACGTCTGAGATTAAATTGTTCCAAATCGTCAAGCTGAATAGATCCATGTGTCATAGCCTCAACTTCTTTATGATGAAGTTATTCGTGTATATCGGGTCTGAACACTGTATGAAACAATACATTCTGCTCCTGTTCTTTCCATTTCCATCTTCATTAAAAAGAAAATAATCTTCAAAAAAGGTAAAGGGGTGATAATGGATTTGAAGTGTCTAGAAATGTAAATTCTGGTTGGTGTTTTTTGTTTTGGACTTTGAAAATATTTTTAAAAAATCAGAGAAGCGAAAAGACCAAGTACTTTGAGTTTTCTGTTGTATCTTTCATCACAAGAAGTACACTGATTTACAGAAGTCTAGTAAACATGGATACATACAAGACCAATGTGTGCCTACAAAGAAAATAATATGTTTATTCATTTCTGCAGGTTTTGTCTGATAAGGGTCTAGTTTTTCATTAATTTGTGATTCTGAGTTATTTCCTTCAGACAATTTGAACATAATTAACTGGAAACTGTTCTTTTTGCAGATGTTAAGTGTTTGGTCTTTTGGTGTCCTAACTTCTCAAAAATGAGGCTTTAATGAGTTGCATACCGTGATTAATGATGAACTGTTAATAATGAGCAGTCTGAAGATATATGAAGGGAATGTTTCACAACTCTCTGATGGTTCATTGACCATTAAAACCTAATACACCTTATTGTGTATGAATGAAAAACAATCAATATAACTCATTCATGAAATGAAACATTAACATCATATCATATTGATTTCTGAGAGGCTTTTTAAAAACAAATAAAGAAAATGGACTATACAAGACAACCGAGGACATGAATTAAATATCAACTCGAAACACAATTTAGGTAACCATTAAATAAAAAGGGAAGCATGCTGGGAGTTGATGTCACAAAGTGGGTGTGTTCAACAATCAATATTCATATTGATTCAGAATCATTGATCAGAATATTCTGATTGCATTTGGAAAGAAAAACAAGCTGTGAATATTCTTTGTAGCTGCTGTGGGTCAAAGCTGAAAGTGTGAATGCAAAGACTCTGCATAGAATCACTGATTATATCTCAACTGCTTTTCCTTTCATTATTATCAGTGGTTTAGTAATTAAACAACAATGTTGCAGGAACAGTCAAAATGACACTGAACAAATAGAATCACATTATGTGGCTGTATGAACAAAACTGAAGTTTTGATGAAACTGATGAAATATTCATCTTTAGATAGATAGATATCTTTAGTTCATTTATCTATGTTGTTTTGTTTCACTTCTTTTAGGACCTGAGCTACATCTGCTTCCTTCCTCTCTGTCCATCTTTCTCTCTGTCTATCCATCTGGGATTCATCACTCACCAACATCAGGCCTGATGATAAAACTTCCAGATGACAGAAGCATATCAGAGGGCACAGAGTTTCCCAAGTGAAAGCTAAATATCTTTGTTGAGTGGAGAGGAAGTGGTGAAAAAAAGGTCTGGATTAGGTTATTTCATGTATGTGATGTATTATATGTTACCCCATGGGCTGCACCTTACAGTCTCCCTCATCCTTTTTATTTTCACTATAAATCTTGTGAAATGGTTCAATTCATGTGCAAAAACTCTGTGTTCAATGCACAGCCAAGCCTCACAAACAGTTCAGCCAGGTTAGATTAGAGGGCTTTAGGGCTTTGAACGTACAGAGAACACAAGTCAACAATTTCCTCAATGTAAACACTGCATTTAATTGGATTATTTAAGCGGTTTCCACTAAACGCTTCTCCTTCTGTTTCCTTTTTGAAACATAATTATTTCAAGAGCATGTATCTCCTCAACATCTGCAAGTTGCAGTAGATTTGTTGAGTGTTTTTGCCACAATATAAAGACATGTCAAATCTATATAATGCGATTGATAAACAACTTGCAGATTTGGTTCCTTGTACAGGCACCTCTTCCTTCCCTTCTTTATTGAGTATTATACCCAGGTTAAGCAACAAAAGTGTGTGGCTCAGGTGTTTCCTCTCAGCCTTCAGTGAAGGTGGGCAGGAAGCTGCCCCTATGGCTGCCTCATGACACATATGGTTTCCTTTAGACACATCCTTAATAAACTTCCTCCTTCAGTCCAACAGTGGCTACAGAGTCAGTGCTGGACTGTCAGTGTTATGATATAAAGACACTTTGATTTTTGTTTTATGCGTTTCCAGCCGCTCAAACCATCTGATCCTTCAGCATGGATTCAAATATTTCCAGATGTTTTTCCTCTTTCTTTTCTCGAATATCTGAGAAATTATTTCAAGCTGCTGTGGGCGAATGGACGGTGGATCCTGGTTTGATCCCAGTTTGAATGAGGTTTGGTCTGTCCTGGGTTGCCTGAGGAGCTCACTCATTGGAGGAAATTGGATGGACAACGTAGGCGCTCCTCTTGAATGGGAATACAGCAGAGGGGAAAACACACAGACAGAAGGCTGACAGGAGCAGCAGAGCCCTCACACACACACAGAGTGGTCTTTTGATGCAGCCATATGAAGGACCCCATTAGTATTTCTTGAGTAAACGCATTTTCGTCATCAGGAGTTGTTTATTTTAATCAAAGGATTCGCGTCATTACGAGCCGCGCGCGCATTCCTTGACAGGATTTGCGCATCTCCAGACGCAAACAGTTGTTTTTTTTTTTTTTGCTCGCCACGAGAGCGATGTTTTAATTTTCCTGCCCGCGAGACGAGCTTTCAGAGTCATGCACGAGCGGCTGCTGGCGGAGCGTTTCATCTGAGATTCAAAAGAAATGGAACAACAGCTCTCCAAACCGGAATGCAAAAACATGGATGCGTGTCTGAGGCGGCTGAAGCAAGAGCTGGTATGTTGTGTTTTATCTACATTTACAAATGCTTTACTTTATTCATTATTTAATATGAATAGTTCTAAATGTGCAAACAGGCTCGCTTATGCAGGGTATAGTAATTCTACCTTCATTTATTCTAAATAAAATCGCTTTCATCTCAGGTTTCTGTGTCCCAGCAGACCTCTTATATTCCAGCGTCCAGCTTTGGTGGGGGGCTGCGTGTGTATTTTGAAAATCGCATTAATGTGTGTGGGCTTAAAGCTCTGAGCACACCAGAGGCATGTGTACATATCCTATCTGTCCACACATCTGGGACAGATGTTTTAAAGCTTAATGGATTCAAGATAGCTTTTACTCTTCCCAAAAAGAGAACTGCTCTTCAGATGCCCGTATTTGAAGTAGTTGTACAACATTGAAAGTAGTTTAGTTTATTATTATCTTCAGGTGTTGCAATGGATCAATGATTCAAGCAGAAATGCTGGTTCATTCATTCATTCAAAACAATCACTGGATTAATAAATAAGGAAAATATCAATAGTTGTGGTCCTTTATTACCCTGTTGTGAGGTTTTACTGTCACAGAGAGGAGGGGGTGAAATTGGCAGAAACAGTGAGTTGCATCATATTATTATGATCTCAATGAATCTGTCAGTCTTTCTCATCCAATGTGTTTATATCCCCTCTCCTCTAACAAACACATTTGTTTGACTTAGACAGTTTTAGAGTGCAATCTCGTACCCTTGTCTTTTAAATGTAAAAACAAAACATGTAAGCTGCACCCTCACACCGGAATCATTTGGCAGTGACACGCTGTAGACCTATTTTCAAAGGAGCCTTAACTGGCACAGATTTCATTTGGAATCATCTTCAAAGCAGGCAGATTCTGTTTTTTTTTCTTCTATCAGGGCATGGCCCACAGAAAAGCCTCGCATGGTTGCGTTTTCTGCAACCTGATCTGCTCCGTGACTGCTTGATTCACCTCTCTGAACGAGCCACACGTCTGTGAAGTGGCACTCTGAGATTTCAGAGGTAGTAGACGTGGATGCCAGGATGACATGTTGTGTTAAAGCTGCCATATCACTGTTTGGTAACATAATAGAAAAAGCGTTGTGCCACGCTGGGGATCAAACAGAAGAAACAGAGAGCAGATGCCGGTTAAAAAGCCGAGGCAGTCTCCCACTGCACGGGACCATGTGGGATGCAATCTGTTGTTCAGAAAATAAGAGGCGTGGATGCCAAGGTTGTCACTTTTCTTTGCACTGTGACAGATTTTCATCCAATGCTCATTGGAGAGTGTTAAACCCACTCCTTCAAAAAACAGATCTCAAATATAATGAACAGACCTACAGCTGTGATGTTGCATATTCCTCATAATCACTTGCTACACTTAAAAACACTTTTGTTGGTTTTTTAATTAACTTTTGCCTACTTACTTATTCAGAAATGCACATTTAACCCAAGATAATAATGAGGCAGATGAAGAAATTTAACTTTTTTTGTTTTGCAGAATTCTATTAGTTTCCACCGTTCTCTGTCCTGTGTGAAAATCGGCCAGAAAGCTGTTGGTACTTTTGCAATTAATCACAATCAATTTCAAGTTTCAACTAATTAATGGAGTGAATGTTATAATATCATAATAATGCAGCACTTACAGATTGATTTGGTGCACTTCATTTCCCATTCCACAAACAGCAATAATGAATACAGATGATGTTCATTGTAATGATTGCACAACATGAACATGTTCATTTATATTATGAAGTGTAACACTGTGCTCATCTGAGCTGTTTGCTGTAAGGGAGGAGTTGGGATTTTGAAACATATATCCCTCCAGCTGATTAGATAGCATGGCACAACATTTTTCTATTATGTAATCAAATTACAGAATAGATCTGCAGGCAGCCTTTTTTTCTAGTCAATCCCAGAATAATGCCACTTTTAAAAATTGCTATTACATTAAATCAACATATATGTTGGTGCATAGATCTCATCTGTTTATATACATTTACTGTCTCTTTACTTTGCTGCCCTTTTACAATAAGTTGATGTCCTCATTCAGAAACACTTAAAGTGATATCATCACTTTGTATGACATCAGACCTCTATGAAACAGAGATAAAAAGGTTTGAAATCAGTTTAGACCAATTGATTTTATACTGTTAAGTAATGAATGTACACTAGTTGCTGCCAGAAACACATGAGAAACTCCATCCCAAGACCAAAAAACTGCAGTATGCTTTCCAAATGTTTCACAACTTTCTCATGCAGGTTGGACCTCTAATGAGGAGATGAAACCTACGAATGGTCGCTTTAAAGGTTGGCCCTGTTAGTTTGCAATGCTTGTGACATTGTAGAAATGTGAGCATGGCACTGAAAGCTAAAAGGAGTGAGAGTAAAATCATGTAATTTACAACCGTGAACCCAATGCTGCACAGTAGACCACATGAAACTCAATGCACTGTGAGCTCTCAAAGAAGACAAGTGTCACACACGTGTGAACAGTGTCAAGGGTCGGGGGTGGGGGGGAGATGGGTAGAGGGGTTCAGTCTGTGTGGGGTAGTGTCAGGTCACGCTTGAACAGTTGACCCTTCACCTGACTACGTCTGGGGCTATTTCTCCTGACTGCTGACCACATCCAACACAGCAGTGAGGCTCAGACTCAAACCTGAGGCGGCAGATCAGTTTCAATTGAGGAATGTTTTATCATTTTTCACTACTGTCATTTGTGCTACTGCAAACAGGCCTTAAACATCCACATGGAACTTTGAAAAGCTCTGCAAGGCTCCATAGAAACAATGATATATTTTTAAGTCCACGCATGACTCATTATGCATATGGCAGAGAAAGAGAAAGAGTCATAAAAATGAAAAACCTAAGCCCTTCCTGCTTAGAGTGATAAAAAAAACCGCTGACATGCCTTTGAGTCATCATGTCTAAATGTTGGGTTCACACCTGCTTAACACCAGAGTTTCAGACACTAAAGCATAACTCAAACCTGTTGATGTCATCTCTGTTGAAGCTTCTTTTATATGCATCATACTTCTTTCATCCCCCTACCACACCTGAGGCACATTTCAAACACAACTGTCATCTCCCAATTCAACACCAAAGCCTGAAAGTGTGAGGTCATGAAATCTGAGGGGGGGAAAAAACACAAGTGCCAAATATACTGAAAGCACAGTGTCTTTATAGTTGCATGTTCTTTGTTACCTTTTGGGCGTGGGATCAGAAAACTGAACACAACACAAAGCAGTGTATAGTGGTTTAACTCTGAGCCTCTTTTGTGTTGTGCCTCCCTCACAGCTCCTATTCTCTAACAGGCCCTTCCTTCCCTTCGGCTAAAATTGGCCCTGCTCTTGGTGGCAGCTGTGTGGTTTTGCATGGATGATCATTGTGTTGGAGATGGAGCCACTAACCTTTTAAAAAGCCTGTTTATCATTGTGGGGTGGGGGGGGGGGGACACATACAGTAACCTTCTTTATTATGGTTTATTGTCTGGAAATCACTGCTGAAGACAGTTAGGAGTTATTATGTCAAGAGACAGTTAAGTTGTTAATTTCGCTGCAGCTGCTGTATGCACACATGTGACTCTGCTGGTCTAAGACTTCTTCTCTGTCTTTACTAAACAAACATGTTTATTATGTCTCATGAGTTTTAATTCAATACTTTGTGTGATTTCAAATGGCTATTTCAGGCTAAAAGCTATTGGATTTTTGGATTGTTCAGTGACTTAAGTGGAAGATGTGTTATGTAATGCATTAAACAGAAGTAATTGATTTTTTTGGGGAAACCTGGGGGCAGTGGAACAAACTGTAAACAGAGCACTAACTAACGATCACCCATTAAGTTGTTCAGAGTTTCCAGTTTTGGAAGAACCAACAAATGTGTCCAATATTGACTCTCGTTTTAGCTCTCTTTTGGTCTCCACCAACTCCTGAGAAATAATATGGCTAAATATTCAACTTCAGTGTGCCCTTTTTTGTTGTGTTTAATGTTACACCAGCCTCCTAATAAGGAAATAATTGTATTAACTGAACCAGAAGCATTGTGGGCTGTAAAACAAAATAATTAGCTGGAAGTTACTGAAACGCTCTATCAAGCAGCAAACTGATGATTGAAGAAATTATTCTCTTTTGATATGAAGAACATTTTCACATTCCAAATAGTCATTTGATGTAGTTTTAATATGACAATAATCCAGGTCCATATAAAACATGGACGTAGCCTCAGTGACATCAACTAATGGTTTTGGAAGAGGCGTTATGAAGCCCAACAATGGCGATTGTCATATTCTGATTGCTGAACCAAACTCTCTTCTGGCTAATCAAGAAGCAGGCATATAACTAGCATATTCCAAACAATATAAACAACACAGACAAGGCTGACAGTTTAAGGCCAGTAACAGGATTTCACTTTTGTGAAGCCTAACCTCCTGACAAACAGCTAATGTGACAGCCTGTCAGTACAGTACTCTCACCGCCGTACAGTTTTTATTAATGAAGGAATAAACTATAGGGAGTTAAGCTGTTTTGGAACCAGTTTTTTAATGTTTATTTCTGCTGTAATAATCTCCGTTTTGAAAGAGGACCACTTAGGAATTCCTTGGTTATTGCAGCCTGCCTCAAGTGGACACTAAAAGAACTGCAGTTTTTTGCAGTTCATATCTTCATTTGACTTCATTTGTCAACACTGGAGGTTTCTAATTGCAATAATCAAAATGCAACCTTAAAGTCCATTAAATCCCATTGTATTTATAATCCAAAACACTATAATCCCCACTGAAACACAAGCACATTAAAAAGACATGTGCAGTTTATACATATAGACATATGAGCTTCATAATGAAATGCATTGGAGCATACAGAGGCCCATCTATTTTCATCTGAAGTGAGTGGTCAAATGCTCTTAAGAGGCACCAACAACCCACTCATCAAGAAGGCTTATAGCAAACATCCATTTTCATCAGGAAATACTTCTCTAGTTTCAAACTGTGTTTGATGTGAGACAAAGAGGAGG